AAAAAAAAAAAAAAAGGGGGAATATTTAAAAAAAAAAAAAAAAAACCCCGCCCGGCGTTTAAAAAAAAAAAAAAAAAAAAAAAAAAAAAAAAAAAAAACACGTGACAATACCCTGACAAGCAGCAGAGCCACGGATGTTAATGCAGTGGACTCTCATGTGGATGTCATCCTCCATGTCACGCCGCTCCTGGTCATTGTAGAACACCAGGCGTCCGTCGGCCCACAGGTCAAACCAGTTTCTTTTCCACCGCCGTAGGATGGTGCCTTCAAAATAAACATCATAATTGTTTTGTTTTTTTTATTACTATTGTTATTTATAAGGGGCGTGTATAAACAGACATACATTTTTTTCTGTGCTACTTAACTGCTGATTTGCAAATAGAAAGTTTTAAAGTAAAGTTAGCTCACTTTGTCTATGGAGCCAGCCACTTTTTACCACAGCCATTTCAGAGGAGACACCTGGAGAGAGAAAAAAAATTGTAAATATTATTACAGTGTGTTTCTCAGAACTCCAGAGGCTGGTAACAGGGTGGGGCATGTCTAAGATGAACCTCGTGAGTGGTAAAACAATTACTAAGTCCACAACGATGTCTACAGCATTAAAAGAAAACAAATTCCTAATGATAAATTTAGTGATTTAGCACTTATTTTTGCATATAGCTTATAAATTAATTTAAGCTAACCATGGTTGAGGCTATTGGTTTAAAGATATTGTTGACTTTGTATGAGATCAAGAATTTATTCCAAGTAAAGTTGAATAGCAACCTTTTATTTTTACGTTGACTCTCAGGGTTCCCCAGCTTAACACATTAAAGGAATAGAAAGCAAGAAATTGGTATTTATGACATTGGTAAGGAGAATATGAGGTTAAAATATTTACACAGGACTAAGTGTAAGAAATAGACTATATTCTTTGCTAGCTGCTTCCTGTAAATAGCTAGAAAGGAGCAGACATGTTAGCGCGAGTTTAAACAGTTTATTGTAAAGTAAGCACTCCGACTATTCGCTCTTATATGACGTTAAAATGTGTTTTTAGTCTAAATACTTACTTGAGTCCTTAAATGTTTTGGACGCGATAACCTTTCTTGAGGATACCGAGAATGCGGAAGTGATATGCACAATAACACGATGTGTTGCTCGCAGCAAGAAATGTCTGACCGTTCAGCAAAGTGGACACATCGGAAATATCCGTTATGTCTTCGGTCTTTGGTTCGCGTTAAATCCCGCCCAGAGAGCATCTTCGCGAATCAACAGTCTCTGTGGAGAGGGCGGTGTTTGTTTTCAATGACGTCATCTATCAGCTGACCGCGGTGGAAAATGCCAGCAAAGGAAGTGAAGGTGCGTTTGGTTATTGGTAACCTCCTGTTCCAGGTGCACACAGGTCTAGGGTGAGCAGTGAAATTTTCTTTTTTTCTTGAAAGTATTCTATCTAAATCTAATGGTTTTTCCGAAATATGTTTCTTTCTTAGTCTATCCCTGTCATAAAAAAAGCTAAACTAAATGTTGATATATGATTTTCAGGCAGAATTAAAATACTGTTAAAATTTTAACAGTTATACTTCACTCTTTGTGAGTTTGACTTTACAAAGAAAAACCTGTCTTTCATTAATAAGAAATATGAAAATTAATTCATAATAGATGATATAGTTTTGATAATAGTTTTCTGTTCAAATATTTTCATGTGTTGTAGCCAGGATCAGCACCAGATATCTGACTCCCCAGTTCTGCACAAAGCCATGGAAATTAATTTCAAATTTATTGATATTTATCCCTACGTCCAAGGCTGAGATTGCATATTAATTATAAAAATGGGTTATTTTAAAAATTCATAAATTATAATTCTATAATGTGTTTTATTGCACACAGTTTTTTTTTTCCAAAACAGATTATTGGAAAGAGATGAGGGCTCGTACGTTTTAGTGTAAAAATAAAATATTTTTTAACATTTTAATGACATTTATTAATTTATTTATTGATTTATTTATTTATTTAAATAAAATGCGTTAAGTCATTGTCTTAGCGGTTTAAAGTTGAGTAGTCCTCAGCTTTATGTATGTTATTTATTTATGAGATACATAAATAAATAAGTTTGTTTGTTTATATTTGTATCATACGAATAAGTTTTGAGAACAAAACATAGTACAATAAAAAAAAACTCGCATATATTTGTTTTGTTTACAACCGAACTGTGAAACTCGCATCGCCACGCCACCTACTGACGGCCAACCCTGTAGTCCAAAACAAACGCTCCCTGTGACTAACAGTTAGCGTGCTTACGAGAGTACGCAGAAGCTAAATAGATATCCCAAAATGGCAACGGCAATTTACTTGGAGCATTATCTTGACAGTGAGTATTAGGAAACGAAATGTACCATGATTAACATTGTCACGTTAAAGTTTGTTTGAGGTTTAGTTTGATTTATTTATTTATTTGTCTATCGAAGGACACGCTCGAGGGACTAGAGGTAGATTGCAGTACAGGCTCGTTAGCAAATAGCTCGCTTGCTAACAGTAGCGTTGTTCCGATGGAAATAAAGCAGTATAAATTGTCACTTCATAATGCTCAGTCTACTGATGTAAAGAAACGAAATTAAATTAGTCGTATTAAATGGTTCACAACGTAACTACTTTACGACACGGATTGTTTTTGCATTTGTAAAATAAACAACAGAACGTATTTAAAGATTGAAATTGGAAAATAATTTCTAATTTTTTTCCCCGTCAACATACATTTTTGGTGTCTTATAAACGTTCGGGGTTTTACTGTTAAATATTGCACGATGTATGCGCAACCTGTTGGAGACCGCGTTTCCCGTAACTGTTTAGGCGCCGGGGGGCGGGGTGTTTGAAGTAGCGCCCAAACTGAGGCAGCCCGAAGCTGAACCCAGTTCCTTTAGCGACCCGAAACCAACAGAGTCGCTGTGTAAAGGTCTGACATCGTGGTAATGTAAACCACTACGCCATAACTGCGTGTTAGTTCATGACGTATGTGTGCTGGACAAAAAGGTTTTCCTTCAGTAAATTCAGCAAAACAAATCATATTTACCATGTCTGAAAAGATAAGAAAATAGCAACTGACATAATACTTAAAAATCCTTATCTGAACTATTCTTTTTTTTTTTTGCCCCTCATGCAGGTGAATCTGTACATTTTTCAGCTTATAGATACGTATTTGTGGTGTGGGATCAGTAGTTTTAAATGTGCTCAAACTCTAAATGTCAAAGGTGCTGAAATATTAAGAAATTATGCAATTTGCATTATTGGAGTCATACTCAAACTGACATGCAAAAACATAAATATATTATGCAGTAAACTTCTGCAAATGAATAAACTGACAAATTTTTATTGCTGAGGATTTTTAACACCTATTTGAATTATTTATTAATCTAAATATAATCAGGGAATGGTTTGTCTGAAATTATGGTAACGTTATAAAAGAATATTGTTCAAATTTCCTGACCAAATGTTCACCTGTTTTGATCATTTTAATTGTTGATTTCAATTAAAGTAGCCCACTAATTTCAGCCTTACAAGCCAAAACTGTTACTTTTACCTGTCGATCAATATTGGTTTATTTATATACATTTTTTATATAACGGTACATATTAATATCATTCACTAATCCTCTGTCTAGGCATAGAAAATCTACCATGTGAGTTACAGAGGAACTTCACCTTGATGCGGGACCTGGACAACAGAACCGAAGGTCATCATTTTACCATTTTATTTTTTGGTGCCATTTTAAATCGGTTGCTTTTGAATTTGCATAATGAGCTCTTAGAACTGTGGTGGCATCGGTGGGGTTTATCTGTCTCTCCAACAACCCCCTGTCGTTTTCGCAGAAAAGAAAGGCGAGATCGACAAGCTGGCGGAGGAGTACATAGCGAATGTGAAGAACCTCGCCTCGGAGCAGAGAGTGGAACACCTGCAGAAGATCCAGAACGCCTACAGCAAGTGCAAAGAGTTCAGTGATGACAAAGTCCAGCTTGCCATGCAGACGTATGAAATGGTCAGTCTGACGCACATTTCCAAGAATTCACCTAAGTTCTTCCGTTCGATATTTATCAGTTGTTGGATTTGATTTTTCTATCGTTTGCCTTTATTTGTTCGGACTTAAACATTCAGAACATTTCTTTCCCGCAGGTGGATAAACATATCCGCAGACTGGATGCAGATCTGGCTCGGTTTGAGAACGAGCTGAAGGAGAAACTAGAACTGAGCGGCTATGAAAGTGCAGACGGAAGAGCGCTGAAAAGTAAGTTGGGTAACCAGAAGACTTTTCCTGTGAGTCTGCATGACGTGTTTTATTCTTATAAGCAATTTTTCTTTCTTCTCTTTCTTCTTCGTCTTCCCCACAGAGAGCGAGATGCGGAGCCAGAGAGAGAAGCGTGGGTCCAGGGGTCGAGGAAGGAAGGGCTCCGACGAAGATTCTCCCAGAAAGAAGAAGAAGGCCAGGTAACTTGGCCCGTCGGCTCAGGATTTGCCACATCTCAGAGGCTTTCTGTTTGTGTTTGTGAGCCGTGGTGCATGAGTTGCGTTGATGCTTTCAGTCCGGACCTGAGCGACACCCTCCTGCCGATGCAACCATCAGACGTTTTGGACATGCCGGTGGACCCCAACGAGCCGACGTACTGCCTGTGCCACCAGGTCTCCTATGGAGAGATGATCGGATGTGATAATCCTGATGTAGGTTTTCGACCTTTTTTTTTTTTTTAAAGTATTATAACTTATCCTTATCTCCATTCTAAATTCATCTGAAACCATCTGCAGGCTGACATAATTTTCCTGTCGTTTCAGTGTCCCATCGAGTGGTTCCACTTTGCTTGTGTCGACCTCGCCACGAAACCAAAAGGAAAATGGTGAGAATTGAACTCCCTAGAAGACATCAGGCATTGATCCAGTAACTCTCTGAACATTTGTCCTTCCTCTTTCCCCTTCATCTGACAGGTTCTGTCCGAGGTGCACTCAAGACAGGAAGAAAAAATGAGATTTTCCTTTCAGGAATGACAACCTACTTTTGTGTTGTTGGCGTCACTAAATAGTCTAGTTTGTATTTTGTTTCAGCAATACTCCGTTTTAAGAAGACAACTTTCCTTAAAAACCTTATCCAGATTTGGTGTAAAGCTACTTTTGTGACATATATCCTCACCAGCTTCCCCCCATGTTCCCTTCCCTCTTTAAATTTTAGCACATCCGTCTCTGTCTTGTAGCTTTAAATCAAATTGTCATACAGTACATTTACTGTGTTGTCCGGGTCTTGTCAGAAAGTCTCTCCTTTTCGAGCAAGAAGATGTAAATACTGTCTTGACTAACGGAGTCGCAGATCCAAGATCGTTGCTTTAGCATACTTGAAATGTCGGTTTTATAAACAACTATTTTTAAAAAAAAAACAAATTAACGAGCCTGCTGAGAATTACATTTAAAACACCTATATATCCTTACGGAAACAACGGTGGTAAAAAAAAAAAAAAAAAAAAAAAAAAGGAAGTCAGATTTAGTTTGTCATTACTACCTCTTTAGGGTTTTACATTAGATCCACATAAATGACTGCAAGTGACAGAGTGATATTACAATCAGCTTAAACCAAACTGGCAAAGGAGAAATGTAAACTGAAAATTTCAACACAAGCCTATGACATTTTTGAATGTATGGTGGTACTGATGGTCAGTTGTTGTCTTCTGTCACCTGAATGAGGTATTTAAGCACTTTGAATGAGATCGTTGCCCCCGGAGACGTTTGATACAGCAGGCGTTTTAAAGACGTAGTTTCTCATAGCCAACTTTTGCTATTGAATGTCTGTTGTTTTCCTTGCTTGTACAACTGTAGGGGAAAACGCCGGTTCTCCACGTCGATCCGTACATGGACAAATATATCATGTATTTTGTATTTGAAAAGATATTTTGTAGACAAATTACTCCAAAGAGATATTTGTGTTGCATTTAAATCCCGGTGACTCAAGATGTAATTTAATAGAACTTTAGCAGCTTCTTTCGTATTTGACTGTGAATATCCTTCATTTATGTGTAAACCACAACAATAAATAAAACCAAAGTATGTATTTTGTAAAATTCTTGTATTTTATAACAAATAAATTTCAATTATTAATCCTACATCGTTTGGTTGTTAGCGTGACATGTATGCTTTCTAAAACACAGGGCTGTTTAGTTTGATATTATCTACCGTGCCTGAGCTTATGCCGAAATGTCTAATGGAGTGTTTATGTTGTTCATCTCCGCTAATTGCAGTGGACACAACTGGAAGTGGGACCTAAATTAAATTCCACTTGAGCCCTCCTACAATCTTGGGCCAGCCCTGTGTCCAGTAGAAAGACGGCTTTATTTTTACTTGGTGTTAATGTGATCAGAGTTTCAAAAGCCCTCATCTGATTCTTCATCCCAGCTGCACTTCTCTTGCTTGGATTTGTCAAACTCCACCTCCAGGTCGTACACAAAGTCCGGGTCATCTTTCCTCTTGCGGTTCCTCTCGAACAGTGTGTCCATCTGTCCCTTTTTGCGAGCCAGTTCCTCGTCATCCAGTTTGTTCAGATCCTCGTCGGGGTCCAGCTGGAACGAAGCGAGGCTGTTCTCCAGACTCAAGCCCTGCATGTGATCTCGCAGGATGATGTGGAGTTTCTCCAGCTGGCTTAGGGGTACTTGGTCCAGATAGCCCCTGTGCCTTGGGTGGTTTTTCAGTCTTTCAGCAGCCATGCTGCAGTCTGGAAGTCAGAGATCATATCGAGATTTTTAATTCAATGGAGGCAAATGCACAGAAACAGCAGTCAAACCTCTTTTTGTTTTGTTTTTTTGTTTTTGATTCCAAAACACAGCTACCACTGCAGTGAAAAACACTTAAGTTTGTGGTTTTAATATGATATTTGTGAAAAGGTTCCTGGGGTATGAATACTTTTAAATTGCGTCATTATCATAAGGATGGGAGAACTGTTTCATTTGCAGATTATTGCATTTATTTTTGGACCCAGGAACCTTTAAAAACAAAAAAACAGATGGAGTGATTGCAGCATGACTCATTTTGATCACTTTATTGAGTCAGGAAATTGACTCAGTAAGTGTATTCATTACACTGCTGCTGAAACTGTAATTCCCCATACTAACTATATAATTGCTGAAAAATATTGTCTTACCAGAATATTTGGAGAAATTTCGTATCGGTATGATTCTCTTGCGTATCTTTTTGGTGTCGGTGTGGATATAAACCAGAACTATAGAAGGAGGATTGAACTGCACTCCGCACCGCTTTGCTTCACAGCCCATTGCCTTCCGTTTTCGATAAAGATGGTTAAATATGTCCTTTTCTGAGGTTTATAGTTTGAAAAGAAATGATTTAATCCATAATAACTGTAATATTGTCCATTAAATTGAAAACGAAGAGAAATTGATAACGTATTAATTACAGGACCTTTCATGGGAAGCGTTACCAAGGAGCCTTACATTAGGCAAATATTTTAGTGAAGCCTGTCCAAAAATATTTTTTAAAAAGGTTATATGAGCCACTGTCCCGTAGTTGTAAAATTTAATTAATTAACTTTAACTAAAACTGATTATTTCATTTTAAAGTATATTATAATAGCTTGGCAGTAATGTTAAACACTCGAGGGACTGGATTTATAGTCAGGCAGAATTCTGGCTTCCACAAAACTACAAAATGGTCCTACGATGTTGTCTTCCGTAAACATTTGAATTGGGAAATGTGAAAAAGCCTCGCAGTATGCCAAATACTTTGAAAATACATGTAAAAATTTACCTTAACGATTGTGATGTACTTTGAACTATTTTTTGTGTTGGCTTGCTTATCTAAATGCTATTGTTTGAACAAAGAGGGTAAGTAATATAGTTAAACGTCTTCGTTCTTGGCAAGAAAACTAATCTATTTTTACGGTTTAAGGTCTTACAAACAAGAGAGATTAAGATTTTTCCTAAGTGGAAAAACATGTCCTCATGTGATGCACGTCTCCGAAAATACATTTGACCAAGACATTATACTATAGACAGAGCTCCTATTAAAAAAACTACTAAATTGCAGTAAGATGAAATGCTATCTACTAACTATTTGTAAAATGTTTATCTGTATAATACTTACGTTTTTTGCAGATGAGCAGGAGCACTGCGATCAGCTCAAACAGTGGCTAGAGTCCTCCTCTGTGTCCCTGGAGCTTAGCAAGAAAGGCTTCCACAGGTATTTGGTTATACGCCTATCATAACATTATGACCACTGGCAGGTGAAGTGAATATGACTTCATGATGACACATTACCTTATAGTTGATAGCAGGTGGACAGTTTGTCCACAAAGTAGATGTGACAGAACCAGATAAAATTGGCAAACATAATGATTTGACTGCATTTGACAAGGCAAAATTGAGATGCCTTTTCAAGAAAATGCTCCAGATTGTGAAGATAATGTTGGTTCTCATAGAAAGTAGGGGTGCACCGATTGCAGTTTACTGGCCGATCGCCAATTACAATCGTAGAAAAGCCTGACCTGCCGATTCAGATTGTGTCCAGTACCAGATAAGATCAGGGTAAGAGATTGGCTTCATATCTAAGTATCTATACTACAGGAACATTTTGAGATCTCAACAAAAAGTTTGATGCGTTCACTTAGCTTTTAAATTCCCAACATCTCAATCCTTCTTGTGTAGCAACCAGTACAGAAACCATTTTCCCCCTCAGACTACAACAATGTGCAACAATCAGCTGTGGATGTAATACCTAACACCTTTTTCTCTAATACCTTCATTCCATCATATAGTAATATAATCTCTTAAAAACAAAATGTCATGTAAGCACTATTTTATCTTTTTGAGCATAATATTCTTTTAAAGTATTCTTTGAAAGTCTTTATTATTATTTATGTTTCACTGTACTTTACAGCTACAGTTTTGAAAAAGTTGTAATGTTTTCATATCTGCTGCTGTGATAAACCAGTCTGGGATAAATACAGTTTGTCTATTTAGCAGGTGGCCATAATGTCATGTCTAATTCATGTACATGTTATAAAGAGACAAAAGGCTTCAGGGACTAATTTCTGTTGTGTTTTAGGGAGGTGACAACCACTGTTGAGCTCAGACCAACTACACTCAGTGGTGCCAGCATTGTGCTGCTTTACAGATGGTCAAATGGCGTCTTTGTAGATCCATATCAACTGGCATCCCTAGGTGATCAAAGCAACTTTGAGGTAACACCATGACAACCATGGCACTATATATTTGTTTTAAAAACTGCATATTTGCATTTTTTTTTAATGATCTTTGTCTTCATTCTTTAAGATATTGCTAGATTCAGCCATTGACCTCGAAGTGCCTGCTCACAAGACTTCTGGATTTCTTACCTTCGTGTTTCCCTCCCATATTGGGTCAGCTCCCAGTTTCCTAAAATTAACAATCCCAGTACACGGGCGCTATCACGAGCCCTCTTTCTCTGGGGAAGCATTCACATCTGTTCACATTGAACCTCCTGACCTGCTGCTGCGCACTGAAAAATGTAAACAATAGTCTTTTCCTTTCTGAAATTGTACAGATGCACCAATCAGATGATTTTGTTTGGATAGTTTTTCCTCGAGTTTTCCCATCAATTCCAGTTTTGACAGATTAGTTGTTGTTTTTTCCCCCATCCAGAAATTATAATGCAGAGAAACGTGCTGCGGTTTTTTTGGTAGATGTATAAGTTTTTAATCCGACAGAGAAGACACTGTTTACAAAATAATCCTCATTTGTGCATCAAAGTATAAATCCTTGACTATATTAAATTTTTACACAGTTTAAAAAGAGCATCATAGTTTAATCATGCATTTATAGATTGAAAAGTGTGGACTTTTTTTTGTGTTTTTAGTCATTTATTTAGTAAAAAAAGATGTCATGATTCAGTATTTGACCTTCCAATAAGAGCTAATTGTACAATCTTTGGCTGTTTGCTTGGTGCATCTCTAATAAATATAGAATTTATTGTCTGATCTAAATTTACAATATTTATCTTGATTATGAGGGGATTTGTTTTCCATATTGAACAGATAGTACAACTTTTAATCAAACAGACTGTGTAATTTCCTCCATTTCAGGCTCGGATCTTCGCAGATTTGAGTCTCATTCTGTAGTGGATGCTCCTTGCACTGTCAGCAATTCCAGCACATGTTCATGGATGAAAAAGCCTCTGCAGCAGGTGCTTTTTTTTTCTAAATCTTTACAAATCATTTTATTAAAAAAAAAAAAAAAAAAAAAAAAAGACACAACCCTACTGTTCAAATCTTGCTCTTATTCAAAATATATCTTGTTTCCTTTAGGAGTCCAGCACCGTCAGTGTCATGTTACCGGTTGGTGATGGATCAGCGACGATGCTTGTCTGCGGTGGGACTCTTCTAGCCACTATGGTCTGCTGTGTGGTGTTGTCTAAATACATGTTGAAACATCGACTCGTTTAAGCTGCAGCAGTCAAAAGGACTTGTTCTAAACGGGGTTATAATGTGGAGCGGTCGTGTCTGGGACCAGGATCATCCCACCTGCTTTCTGTAAATACAAAACAGATCTGTATCTGTTGTGAAAGAATCCCAGGTGTCCACATTAAATTACCCCCTAAAAGCTTAATGTGACTCCATGTTTTTACAGATTTTTTTTACATTTATTTTTCTGATATGAAATTGAAATTTGGGTCAGGCAATATTAAAAGATAAAACTATTTTGTTGTTTGCTTAAGCAGTTGGGAAACCAAAATAAAGAATGTATAGAGCTACAAACGATGTTTTAGATAAATATGTAAATCTTATATTTGCTTGTACATGTCAATAATTTCTAACGTTGATGAAATAAACATGTGAAACATAAATGTGTGGAGAATATAATTTCAACTCAAACCCCTTAGAAGGGATCTCCAATTGTGATTAAATATATTCATATATTTCATTTTGTAAAACTTCAGTTTCAGCTTCAGTTATTTTTATTGTATTTTATTTATTTTCCTAAGTGTTTTTTTGCATTCATTGTTTGAAGTGCTGAGTATCTTTGTGTTGAAAGGATGATCTAATGCCTGGAGACCCCCCTGATGGCTAACTTTCCCCCTCACTCCATTCATTGGAAGCGTTGCCTCACTGAAGGGGCCAGGGCTGGGTCGGTAGTTCCGCTTCCCCCCTTCGCCATAGCGGAATTATCCCAGGGCCGAAAAGACTGATGAAAAGTTGAACTGTAAATAGTTGGACTCAGGTTTTTACTAAGGTGTTTGCGCACAAGGTGTACCAGTCAGAACCCAAATGTTACGTTGGGAGCATTTTTAGCGGATTTGTCATCGTTTTTCCAAACCGTCGGGGATTGTCCGGGAGTCAAGTTGAGGCGGTGTGGAAACTCCGGTGAGCTCCGCCGCTTCTGCGTCGTCTCCGTTAGCCCGCTAGTTGGGAACATTTACAGGAGCCACTTTGGCCTTTTCCATATCCTGTGCTGGCTTGTTAAAACTCCAATTTAATGACGGAAAGTTTTAAGGTGTACTTTGGTTAATCATTTAGCGTTAGCTTAACAGCCTTTTACCACGTTCGGTTTATAAGAGCTGGAGTAGCATGTCATGCTAAGCATAACTCTTAGCTAGCACACTTGTTGGTCAAGCAGTGAATGCTAACGTTAGCTTGCTAACGCCCGTGTTGGTGCTCAATTAAATAGCATTTAGAGGCAATTAAAATGGTGGGAACACGCATATTACTGGAAAGTCTGCCAAGGCTGAGACAATATATCAAATAAGTATCAGCTTTACAGTGCAGGACATAAAGAAGGAGTAGCTTGCAATGCTTTCATATTAATCAGGATGTCTATTTTGCATAGATGCATTTACTTTGCCTTAATTTGTAGTTTCTCCCAATGAAACTATGTTGCTCGTTTCGACATAAATTAATTGTTTAAATTTCAGGTTAAAAGTAGAGAACGTTTGACTACATAAAGAGGAGGCCACACTGTGATTTCATATCCCTTTAAGTTTTTACACTTACTCATGTAACATTGTGCTTTATCAAAACCTCAAGAGAGAGCAACACGTCAAATAGATGTTATCACATACTCGTAATCCAAATCACCTAAAAGAACAATAAATAATTAAAAAGGAATAAGGAAAGGAAGGCAATGTATCAGACAAAGTCGTGATTTTAAAAATGTTTTACAAATAAAACTTCTAAGTATGACACTCATAAGTATTCAACCGTCTTTGTTCAATACAGATCCAGTGGAACAATTAACTTCACAAATGGAGTTCAGTGTGAGTAATTTAATGGTAGTGGCAGCACCAAGCTGTGGGAACTTTTTTTTTTTTTTTGTCAGCATGAACAGTGACAAGTCTTGACATCTCAGAGATTTCCCAAAGTCGCTCTATGAACTCTGTCACAACTTGAGATATTTTCCAAAGAAGAATGAGCTAAACCTTCAGGCTGCATATGTGCAAAACGAATAGAAATCTTAATTTGAGCTGTATTTACAACAAAAGGTAGTTATACTGACAGGGCTGTATATAAATGCATACCACACTTGTAAGACTCTTATTTTGTAGATTGTTTTTGAAATTCATGCATCTTCTTTTCTTTTCCTCTTCACAATTATGCACTACTTTGTTAAATTTGTGGTTTCAGCTCGGCAGGAGCTATGGATGCTTAAGTTTATGCTTTCATGGCTTAATTGACAACATAAATGGGAATGTTTTCCAGGAAAAAGTCACTCTGGTGCGCTTTATAGACATCTTCTGCTGTATTTATAACTTTTAATAGTTATTTTCTGTTCTAACAATAATTAAACTTCTCCCCAGGTGCCTCTCGGAGCTTCGTCTCACCCTTTATGTGAACACTAACGCCCCTTCTGATGTGAGTCTTGCCTCCCTTGCTCGCTCATCTCCATCCTGAACCACTTCTTGTTTGGCTGCCTGCGTCCACCTCTCTACAATGTGCGACAACGGAGACCCCGAGGACAAGCCCCCCGCCCCTCCGGTGCGGTCAGGAAGCGCCATTTTCGGCACCGGCAAAGACTCGTACTCGGCCAACCACAAACCGCTGCCGTCTGTGCCCGAAGAAAGGAAACAGCGGAAAGGCATCATGTCCATCCTGTCGGGGGCCGAAAAAGGTGAAGTCAAAAGAGCTCGAAACTTGACGAAAAGTTTTAATCCAAATGTGTGATTTCGATTCATTAAAGATTTGGTTTCTTTTTTTTCTTTCTTTATTTTTTTTACGTAGGTAGGAAAAAAGATAGAGACAAAGAGCGACCGGAGATCTCGCCGCCTTCTGATTTCGAACACACCATACACGTCGGGTTTGACGCCGTTACGGGGGAGTTCACGGTGAGTTTTCACTGCTTGGGCAGTCTTGTTGAAACTCACTGTCTGCATCGTGGGTGAACTTCTGTTTTGTTTTGTTTGCCTCACGCGTAGGGCATGCCAGAGCAGTGGGCTCGACTGCTACAGACCTCAAACATCACCAAGTCGGAGCAGAAGAAAAACCCGCAGGCTGTTCTTGACGCCCTTAAGTTTTACGACTCTACGGGCAACGGCCGCCAGAAGTACCTCAGCTTCCCGTCCTCTGGTGAGAAATTAAATCAAATTCATTTATCTTGGTCATTTTTAACCTTTCCACACACAAGTTAAAGAAAGACAAAACGCACAATACAGTCCAGTTGGGTCCTGCTCAGAATAAAAATGAAACTCATCTGATCATAAAATACCAATTTGGGGGGAATAAGAAAAAAGCAGCACCAGGTTTGGAGTACTTTCTGTGGCAATCTCTAATTTTTGTGTTTTTCTTTATACAGAGAAAGAGGCCTTCCCTGCAGGACCTCAGTCTGTAAGTAACCCAGACTTGTTTTTAACGCTCGTCTCCAGCTTTAGTGCTGCTCTCTGTGTTTTGATGCTGAATAAACGTTGCTTTTTATTTTGAACAAGCCCGTGAAAAAAAGCTCCGAACCCTCATCTCCGAACATCAAAGACATTGATGACGATGACGACGATGAAACTCCGCCCCCGATTGTGGCTCCAAGACCAGAACACACAAAGAGTGTAAGTTACCACCCACGGGTCTGTGGAAAGAAAATCTGCCACCTTTGGTGTTTTATTCTTGATCTCGTTCAACTTCTCAGCTACAAAAGTTGTCACTTTTTTTTTTTTTTCGTATATTATCTGGAGCTCTTCTTTTTTTAATTTCATTATGTATTTGGTCAACTTTCCAGATGTACACCCGCTCTGTAATTGATCCCATTCCTGCTCCAAGTACGTGTCCAGATGGGGATGCTGCCTCTAAGTCTGCAGACAGACCGAAAAGGAAGACCAAGATGACGGACGAGGAGATCATGGACAAACTGAGTGAGTTATTTACCAAACTACACACTCCTCCTGCGTACAGATCTCTTCACTTTTCTCATGATGTTTGTGATGTGGCTCACAGGAACCATAGTAAGCATCGGCGATCCCAAGAAGAAGTACACGAGATATGAAAAAATTGGTCAGGGGTAAGTTCAGACATGTCCTGCAAAATCTTTCATCCCACTTTTCTACCATGGGATGAAGGAATTTGTCTGCCCTACAAGTATGACAAGTTTTTACGTCTTTTGCTGTGTTAGCGTCATTGTAGCTGTAGATTCTAGTGAGGCTAACATTAGCTGCTACGTTTGTAAATGGTGATGCTTTCGAGTTTTACTTGCAAGTCAGAATTTCAAAGCTGAAGAAAACGCAAATAGAACACCAAATACATAAATAAGGCTACCTATACTTCCCTAAGTTCATGATCCAATATGGCTTCTATCAACGTTGCTCAAATTATCTATGTGCATGTATAATGGTTTGTACCTCCTTAATCTAGTTACACAGATAGCATATTGCTACCATTGGTGTTTGAATCAATAGAATAACTTGGTAGTGGTCATTGACACGGCATTAGGCAAATCCATCTAGTTTTCCAAGTTCCAACATGAACGCCCTCAACCTTAGTTTATTGTCTAGAGCCTGTTGTTAATGCTCAGGCTAGTTAGCATAGCCTCCGATGAGGTGGATAAACAGATTTCCTGTGACGGTAAGTTATTCTTCAGCTATTAGCACATGGAGTAGCGTGTACACAAGCATGTTTGACAACGCCAAGACCGTCCTCCTGGTTCTGATTGGTTGTTTCTGACTGGGAATGGTGCAGAGAAGCTTGACTTTTTTTTTATCCCCTGCCCCCCACATGTCACCTCTTATGTTGTAATGTCACCATATGATGACAGTTTTATTAAACATGTAAAAAAAAAAAAAAAAAAAAAAATTTACGAAAGGTTACATATATGAAGCTTTAATGGCTATACAAAGTCTGATGTTAAAAATAACGACTTAGTTTTCTCAAACTGCTGTTCATTAGAAAAAGTATGCAAGATCTTCATTGCCTTGACTTTGAAATAATTTACAAAGCTGTACATTATAGTTACATTACAAATGATAAAAATACAGAATAATTCCCACAAATGTCGTACAAATGTAGACAATAATTATAAACATAAAAAACGTCTCGTAGCTCACTCAGCTCTTCTGCTCTCAGCCTGATTTCAGTTCCTTTTTGTTTTGTTTTAATTCATATATATTAAATTAGTTTCTCAGCCGTGTCATTTTAATGCAGGCACATTTCACTTGATAATATTGGCCACATACAGAAGTGAGTCACTTCTTTCGGCAGCCATTTGCTTTCACAAGTGGTTCTAGTGGCTTTTGAATCATAGTGTGGGTTAATGTTTTCACACACAACTTCTGCATTGTGGCTTTCATTTAAATTAAAATAAATGTGTGTTTTTCTTATTTTAGGATCTGGTAAGGATCTAAATTGAACATTTGACTTCAGTTTTTTTATTGTTTTATTTTACTGAATTTAAAATATGAGTGGATTGTTGCCTGAAATGTGTCTAAAGCGGTCCATTTACTCTTTTTGCAGTGCATCAGGAACAGTATTCACCGCCATTGATGTCGCAACAGGACAGGAGGTAATAGAATCTCAAAAAAAAAAAAAAAGAAATATGTAAAAAAAAATTCTATTATGAACATATGTAAGTTTTGCAAAACTAAAGGATGACTCGGTTAAAAGGTTTGCTTTTAAGGGTAATTTAAGGAAGCCAAAATTAGTATAAAATCACCTTTTATGCTTCAGAAATCTTATTGGAAGTGAATCTATGGAGAATTTTTTTTTTTTTCTTTTTGCACATTTTATTGGCAGGCGTTTGGTTTACATTGAACCCATTTTCACCATCAACTTCCACATTGAAGCTGTGGTTATTCATTTTGTCAGGTGGCCATCAAACAGATCAATCTACAGAAGCAACCCAAAAAGGAGCTAATCATCAACGAGATTTTGGTGATGAAGGAGCTGAAGAACCCCAATATTGTCAACTTCCTGGACAGGTGAGACTAAACTTAAACATACCTTGTGTTGTGTGTGTAATGATGTGCCACTTGGGGGGTGGGGGGATCCTTATTGGTTGTTTGTTTTTTTTATATAGATTTTAAACCCCAAATATTGTTGTTTTTCAGCTTCCTGATGGGGGAGGAGCTGTTTGTGGTGATGGAGTATCTGGCTGGCGGGTCGCTGACGGACGTCGTCACAGAAACCTGCATGGACGAACCTCAGATAGCCGCCGTCTGCAGAGAGGTGCTCCGCACTCGTCCCGCTTCCGGGAAATTTAATGAAAAAATCCTGCGCCACGCAGAAGGTTAAACCGTCTTAACTTTTTTTCCACCCTCTTCTCGATTCCAGTGTTTACAAGCTTTGGATTTCCTACATGCTAATCAAGTCATTCATAGAGATATCAAGAGCGACAACGTGTTACTGGGGATGGATGGTTCTGTAAAGCTGAGTAAGTACGACTTCCTCACAAGCAGCTTGGTTCCTTAGCCTGGAAGAAAAAAAAAAAAACATGCAACATGTCCTCCGTCTTTCTCCGGCAGCCGATTTCGGCTTTTGCGCCCAGATCACTCCTGAGCAGAGCAAGCGCAGCACTATGGTGGGCACGCCCTACTGGATGGCCCCCGAAGTTGTGACCCGGAAGGCTTATGGGCCGAAAGTAGACATTTGGTCACTTGGTATCATGGCCATTGAGATGGTTGAAGGCGAGCCCCCCTACCTGAACGAGAACCCACTACGAGTGAGTACAAAGAAATGCTGGTGACGTGGTGTGGAGTGTTAAAAGTTGATTTGTGTTTTAACATGGTCTTTGAACAGCTGCAGCTTTTTAACTTGAATCAATCAACATTGAAGCACAAGAAGCTTTGTTCTCTATAGTCGGAGTAACTATTGTCCTCAAAATAAAACTGGATTTGATTCATCTTGTTTTTTCGTACGACTGAAACTCTTGTGTGATAAAAGTAGTGGAAGAAAAGCAAACTGATTTAGTCAAGAATTATGGATTGGTTTTAGATTATTTAATTGGTTTGGAATTGGAAAGTAAAACACCGGTTTCAACACCATCACAAATCAGAAATCTAAAAAGTGTGGCGTACATTTGTTTTCAGCCACCACCTCTTCAATTCTTTGTGATGACACCTTTCACTGCAGTTCAAGCTGCAAATGAAAAAATGGCTGAAGCTCAGTGACATTGCATGGTTAGCGTCTGTGAACAACAAATATTCTCAGTTAAATTTAATTGGACTTTGACTGGGCCACTTTAACACACGGACATGCTAACGCTTTACCTTAAGAATCACCTTAATTGAGCAAGTTTGTGTGCACGAACAAGGAATTTTACTATCTTTTGAAGGCAGTTGGGTTACACTGGATTTTATTGAAGGGCATCAGAGTAATGCACGCCACATTTCTCAGATGTTTGATTGTAAAGTAAATGTGAAACCGTCTTCCTTCCACTTTGCAACTACGTTTTCCATCACATAAAGTCTCAATAAAAACCTCAAACTGACTTAACAGTAAGGCTTTTCTCTCATCTCACACACTTTGCCAGGCATTATATCTGATCGCCACAAACGGCACACCCGAGCTCCAGAATCCAGAGAAGCTGTCTCCGGTTTTCCGAGACTTCCTGAACCGCTGTCTGGAAATGGATGTAGAGAAGAGAGGCGGAGGCAAAGAGCTCCTACAGGTAAAAACGAAGTCATTATTTCATGTGGTGTTTTTTTGTTTTTGCCAGTATGTTTTCCGATCTCGCTGTTGATTTGTGTCGTTGCCGCTCAGCATCCGTTCCTGAAGCTGGCGAAGCCCCTCTCCAGTCTCACGCCTCTCATCCTGGCAGCCAAGGACGCCATGAAGGGCACCCGTTAACGGACAAAGCCCAGCCGACCCCGCTCCTGCCTTACTTATGCTGTGCACAGATAATGTGCCAACCGTTTAGATTTCGTGCCAGACAATAGGCTGAGAGTGACTTGCCAGCCTTGATGCACCAGCCTTGTAAGCCCTGACGAACCTCACTGTGAAGACCAAAAAACCGAGAGCACAACCCCCCCCCCCCACCGCTGTCAGCATGAACTCTTACCGTCAGATGACAAGTCAAACTAAAGTGCTTAGTAACAGAGTCAGGCGTAGTTCATTTTTGTACATCAAAACTGGTGACATGTTAAAACTAGGCTTGTATTTAACTCGGAATGAAGAAGACGCCTAGTTTAGTTGTGTTTTTTTTTTTAATCAACTGCCTTAAACAAATGCAAAATGTTGCCTAATGTATTGTTGATTGTGTCTGTCTTGTGTTTCCCATGATTTTTACTACCTTTGTAATTGACATTTTCAGCCTGTCAGTATCGTAGTTATTTTGATACTTGAATTTCATGTTCGTCCCCCCGGTCCACTCCCGTCTCCTGGTCCATATCGTCTCGTTTGGTGGACGTTCTGTTTCCCAGTAGACCCATGTCGTGTGGACATTTCTCGTCTCGGTTTTATAGGAAACATTTCAGTGCATTATTCATCGTGACCATGTGCTGTGATTGTGATGTTCTTTAGCTGACAGATCTACTGTACCAGTTCCTTCCTACAGACACTTGTATCTGTAGTGTCCTGATGCCAGAGGCGCACCTTTGCAGGCATTTAAATGTTAGATTGACAGGGTTTATACTTTATTCTCTGTTGCTATTAAAATGAGTATTGTATGTTGAACTCTGTCCTTTGTGTTCTTCCAGACTAAACAAGTGGACTTTTCTCATACAAGGGCTGTGTATTTTTTGTGTAGCTTTAGAACCAGTTACCATATGCTAATTAGATAACAAAAAAAACTGAAGAGACAAAAAACTATTTTTTCTTTAATCTTTGTCAACATACAAAATAAATACAACTGGTTTTAATATTAATTGGTGGTGAGATTATTTGTGCAAAAATTAAGAGATTACTAATATTTAAATTCTATTTGCAAGAATCTGATCAGATGATGGAATCAGCTCTGTAAATAGGTGGCGTGCATTAGCCAAAGATTATGCTCAAAAGCATTATTTCTTCAATAAAGTGTTGCTCCTGTGGTAGTAAAAAGTAGCCATCCATAAAATACAAATTGTAATATTTTGCGTAATTGAGTAACTGATCCAAAAATGTAACGTCATATCCGAATTCTTGTACCTGAAAGAATAAAAACAAGGTAATGTTAGAAAATAATTTCTCAGAGAGCGCCGTGTGTGTGTGTGTGTGTGTGTAAAGTTCCCATCTCTGCCGTGTGGGCTCGGGTTCGCTTGCTCTCCATAACAAAACCCACCTTCGGCAACCTTCGGTTCGTGTTCGGGTAAGACACGCCTTTATGTTATTCAGGAATTGTGCTTTTATTCTGAAGGGCACAGTCGGAAATCCATCGTCGAAGTATGAAGCTCCAAACTCAGATGCTAAGAAGTTGAACGCCAGTAAATATCAATTTGAGACCTGAATTCGTAATGGCGTTCCATTTGAAAGACAGAGAAGCCTACGAAAGACTGAACTATCTGTACCAGGTGGGGGAAAGCTTTAGACGAACCGCCGCTAGTAGTCACATGTTAGCTACTTTGCTCATGGGGTGTAAATGACGGCGTCTCTGGCTTTTGTGTCTCCTCAGGCTGCTCACTGCGTCTTATCTCAAAACCCAAACAACGTGGAGCTGGCTCGGTTCTACTGCTTCACACAGAAAACGATAGCAAGACGGCTGGTTCTCAGGCAGTAGGTAGACGCGTTCTGACGGTAGTTTTAGCAATACGGTTTTATTTTTGAAGGAAAGGGTGAATGTCGTCACTTCCTTGTGATGAAGTAAAATTTTAAATAACGTTGAAATTTGTCATTTATTCCTTACTTTATCAATACTTTTGATAAAGTATTTATGTTGAAATGGTTACTTACATTTGGAAGAGCGTAAATTGTTTTTCAAATGACATCAAGATAATGTCTGCTGTTTAAACATTAAAGGGGTTTTTCTAGCATTTTAAAGTCGCAACCAGTTTTGTATCAATTAAAAAAAAGATGCAGTAATGTGTTAAATCAGTTTACTTTTTGCATGTATTGATATATTCTGGCAAAAAAAAAAAAACAACTAATAGACCGTTGGGTTGATTAAAAAACAGATTTATTTTTAATTGTATCATCTTTAAGTTTGTACACAGCAGCTCTAAATAATAATATTCAGCAAATATATTGCCTCTCTTCATAAATGGGCATTATCTCCCGAGTGAGATTACATTATAACTTGTATAATTTGATGCCTAACTTTCCTTAATTGTACTTGACAAGGAAAAGAAAGCACTGTTATGTGTAGAAACTTAATTGGACAGTCATTCTTTTTAAAAAAAAACTGTAAATGGTATAGTTTTTCATTTGTTAGATTTACTTAAAACAAAAACACAAGCATCTAAAAACAATTGGATAGGCTAAAAAAATAAAATAAAATCCTAGAATCCTAGAAATACCTTGTGTGCCTGCAGGCATAAACTCCCCGACAGGCAGGAGAACAGCATCCAGAGAGAATTTTAAATTGTGGCTTTCTTTCATTTGGACTCATTTTCCTGCAGAGACCCATCGGTGAAGAGAACTGTGTGTAAGAAATGCTGCTCACTGCTCATCCCTGGTGTTACTGCCACAACAAGACAGCGGAGTAAGGCAATTTCAATGACTTTCTTGACTTTTATTTTTAATCTTTGTTCAGTAGTTTTTAGTAATAAATTCCTGTTTTCTCACTTTGTTTGATTAGGAAAAAACAAAAAGAATCGTTTTACTGTAGTGAGATGTCTCAGCTGCGGCCAGACCAAGAATCTACTGAATAATCCAGATCATTGTTTGTGGGCGGACCGACCTGAGGCGCAGCTGGTGCAGCGGAAACAATCTGGTGAATAGGCAAACTTTCATTTTTCTTATTAAAAATAAAAATTCACACTTTTATTAGTAAAATTTTACTTTTAGAATTTTATTACTAAAATATTTTTTTTAACATTTGCACTCTTTCTTGCAGATCCAGGCTCTTCAGCTAAAAATCAGCCTAAATGCCCAAAAGCTGATGGGTCCCAGTCTTCGAAAACACTTGATGCTCAGAGTTCTACCAGCACATAGTTTGTTGTTGTTTTTTTTTGTTTTTTTTTTTTTCAAATAGAAAGCATAATTTGGATAAATCCAGTGCTAAGAAGTTTTTTTTTTTTTTCATTTAATTTATTTCACTGAATACATGCTGCAAATTGCGCATTTTTTCCACAAGTTTTTTTTGTCTAAATATAGACAACAAAGATGAAGCTAAAAAAAAATTTTCTTTCACATTTTTTCCAAATATTTCACATGATGCATCATCCATTGCTGTTCAGTTAAAGTAAACCTCTTCTAACCATTTCTTGTAATAGTCTCTTTTTTTTTATTACCATCTGTCACTTTTTCTTCTTTTCATGTTTGTCTCCTTTCGGCACTCTGAAGCGTGTCTTCTGGAAATACAGAAGGTTCCTGGCAAAAAGCCTGGGAATGTGGCCCATGTAAAGGAGAAGGGCCAACATCATCCCTGGGAAAAGAGCAATTTTAAAGAAACTGTTAACTAACTGTGACACACACACACATGAACGCACCGTTTGCTGTTGCGTAATGTGACATACCTGTGAGAGAGCTCAGCCAGTAGACCACTGCATACTCTTTGAAGGTAAATCCAGGACAGTGGAAGGTGAGTCCATAAGCCAGAGATGGGTTCATGAAAGCAGAGGTGTAGCTTCTGGCTGGAAAATAGAACGGATAAGTCAGGACGTTAATGTGTTTCGCTGGTTTTGAGTGTGAAAGACTTACAAAGTTTGAATAAAACAAGACTTGATGCTTTGTAGTAGGAGTGTCCCGATGCAACTTTTTCCAGTTCCGATACAAAGGCAATATTGCAAGTTTGAGCAATAGCTGGTATTGATATTGATCAGATACGACATCGGCATGAATCGTACATACTTTTGTTAATTAGTAGTGTAGAATGTGAGAAAAGGCTTGATCAAGTGATATTACTCAGAGAACGATGGTCTACAATAGGTATGAGAACAACTGAACTGACCCATTTGTTATTAAACAATGGGTCTCTGGGATACAAGCGCTGCTGGATGCTTCTATTGGAGATGCAAGTCAATTTATTCCAATACTCGGATCCCAATCCGATATTAATATCAGATTGGGACACTTCTACTTCCCATCCCTTCCAATAAGCATAAAGAAGTTTGGACAGACTCACCGACATGAGAGAAGAAAGTGAGTAGAACTGCGATCAGGGGCACCCGGATCAGAGCCGATCTGCGCCTCAGATTCAACTGGATGAGATGAAAGATGAACGCGCAGGCACACTCGGTAAAAAAGCCTTGAACCACGGAGACCTGCAGGGACGTGCCACATTCTCTCGACATGAGGTTTTTGATCATGTGCATGTCGGTCAGCTCCAGGCTCCAGTAGTACCTGGCTGCCAGCAGGCCCAGGTGAGCCCCAGCGAACTGGGCCGTGACGGTGAGCGCCGTGGGCAGAGTGCCGGCCTCCAGCTGCAGGAACTTCTGCACGACCAGGCTGGGGTTCCCCGACGTTCCGGCGCAGAGCACGCCGTGAGTCAGCAGCAGAACAAACAGCATGGTCACGGTCACATCCTGGCCCAGGCCCCCGGCCCACTGGCCCACCTCCACGATGGTCTGTATCTCCAGCCAGCACGCCACCAGCATGAAGGAGGCGGCGAACTCGGACACAAAGCTAAACCGAGGCCATTTTCTGAGGAGCGTTTGGACCAAGACTGCGAAAACCACCACTGACAGGAAGTACCCGAGTGATGCGTTAAGTCCAGACATGGCTGACCTCGGGTGTCGTCCTCCGTCTCTTGTAAAAGAAGAATGAATGAAGGGTTGACCCAGCAGCCGAGCTTCTGTGTGACAACGTGGCGCACGCACAGACCCATTTCTTATCAGAGACACGTCAGGTTTTTTATCCCAAAACCACCTGCCAAAATACACACAGGCCTTTATGTCAGGTCAGGCAGCTGGCTGTCTTTCAGTGACTGTTTGATGTTGGTTTCCATTCAGTGTTAGCCCAATGATTCCTGCACCGACAGCACTGTTGGTGTGGGTAGGAAATGTACTGCAGTATGCACTGTCAGATAAGAGTTTTAAAACGGGTGAGGTTACAGTGCATCCAGAAAGTATTCACTACTATCCACTTTTTCCACATCTTTTGTTACAGCCTTTATTTTTTTTAAAGAAATAACTCATTTCACTTGTTTTTTGTTTGTTAAAATTTGACACATAAATACCAAACATGGGAGAAGCACCATAAACCTTCCAGAAAACCACAAAGATGCTGGAACACTGAGTTCCTTTAAATCCAGGCTGAAAACCCACCTGTTTAGATCTGGTTTTGATTAGTAGTAAGTGGAACATTCATCAATATATCTGATGTATATTTTCTTGAAGATGGCTTTTAACAAGATGTAACATTTATTGCTTGTTCCCAAACTGATGGTTTCCAAACATTTTCTGGGCACCAGAAAATGTTTGGAATGTTTGGAAACGTGTGTGTGTGTGTGTGTGTGTGTGTGTGGAGGGGGCAGAGGATTCTTAGGGACTCCCTGTCTCCAACTTTTTGGGGGGGCAAAATGAATCTACGTAGCTGGACACAGACAACAACACCAGCAGCCTACAGGCTACTTGTTAACAAGCTTAAGGTGATGTATTGATATTAGCCAATCATCTTTTAGCTAACTTTACCAGCATCCAACAGCTTTACTCAACTCAGTCGGTTAGTTTGGAGGAAAAACTGTGAAAAGTTCTTCGCGGTTTGCTGGTTTGCTGCCATGATTCTAACACACCTGTGCAGCTCTGCACAGCAGCAGCAGGTCTCCTTCATTGCCGCACAGGTGTAAACCCAGCGCGAGCGTCGTAGCGCTCATGTTGCGTTTAAAGGCGGCTCGGAAAAACAGGTTACCACATGTTAACAATGGATTAAACAGTTTTAACTGCTGATAAAAGTGACAGAGGTCACAGATATGGGAAGTGTGGAAGCCTCTACTGTATCAAATTGACATAGGAATAACAGAGTTGGCCATTCTAAGGTAAAAACCGAGAGCATACAGCGTTCATGCTTTGTTTTCTTTTTCCATCCAGACAGCTTTCCGCGCACCCCTGCAATGGCATGGCGCCCCCCTAGGGGGCGCCCCCCACAGTTTGGGAACCTCTGGGTTACTGTATGTTTGAACTGCCTTGTTTCTGGAATCAACTGTGGAAATAAACTTGACTTACAATACTGAAAAAAGTTTGTTTCACAAGTTTGTTAAAAGTAGAAAACAAAAAAACCCCCCAAAAAAACATTTATTTAAAATAAATTAACTATTCCTCATCTTCAAACCATCTCACCTTTTTTTCATTTTCTTAGTATTTGCAGCTCTGCCTTCAGTTTTTTTTTTTTTTTTTTTTTTTTGCTCCCTTTTTTTTTAATTTCATAGGTCATACCAGATCTCTGCCCAACTGTAAAACTTTCCATTCATTAGTCATTTCCAGTCACTTCATCCTTATCATTCCTTTTCCTCTGGAGTACTGTCTTGTTTGTATGTCTAAATCGTACAGTCACCAAAGTAAGAAAGTTGGGTGGAGGTGTATTGTTTTTCACCAGCTTTAGCTCAGGTTTGCTTTGCTAAAATGTAAGGTCCTCTAATGGTTTTTGTGAAGTGGGTGACTGTAAATATTTCAAATGTATTTTATGACATAAAGTCATCAGGAATATGAAATTTGAGGGGCTCAGAAATATGTATGTTATAGTTAATTGTTTTATTCATTCTAAAAATAAATAAATAAAAAAAAAATAAAGACCAAATGTTTCCACAATGTCTTTGGCTAACATGAGAAAAACACCTGTAGAAGAATCCCACAGCAGTGTCTGACCATATCATCCATGGCTGTTGTGGTCGTGTACAGTTCTTCTGTGTAGGTACCAGTTAAATGATAAATATTCAATTTATCTTTCATCAGCCAGTTCAATAAATCCATATCTCAACAGTGTGTCTTGTTCACAAATGTACAACTATTTAAAGGAAAATAGGTTTTCCATGTCTATTACCAAGAAGCATTGTTACAACAAAGAACTAATCACCAGGGGTGAAAGTAGGCGGGTACGGTAGGGTACTGCATACCCCTAAAAGATTTAGCGGGGGGGACGCAGTACCTGCAAGAGGGGGGAGCGGCTGTCTGCTATAAAACACCAATGGGTTCATTGTGCAGCCGTGAGTGGTTAGTTTTTCAAGAACAATCTCAAACACGACTTAATCAGTTAATAAATAACTCCCCCCCACCCCCATTTCATATTGTTTCTGAACTGTTCGTGCTTTGTTAGAGCAGCGGTGCAATATGTCGAGTTGTTGTCGTACAACTCTCTCTCTGTGTCACCACCAAACGAATCCAGCCAGACCAGCACAGACTCCAGCAAACTTTTGATGTGGTAGTCCTTTCCCAC